TTTCCTTCCCATGTTTTCCCTCTCCTTTCTCCTCTTGCCACATTCCATCTGTTCCCCACTCCTTTCTCCTATTTCCATGTTTCCCCTTTCCCTCTTCCAGGTCTTCTCTTCCCTCCTTCAGAATACACAGGTGTGTGATGGCTTTCAAGACAGCGAGAGATCATAAACAACCACCTGTGGCTAAAATGTTTCAAAGCAGTCTAGGGGATTAAGATACTTCTTCTTTAGAAGTTAATGCCAGATGCGTCTAAAGACCCGGCATTTCAGCGGCGGGTCCCGGGGCACTTCGGTGGTGGGTCCCAGAGTGGAAGGACCCCCCGCTGCCGAATTGCCGCCGAAGACCCAGCACTTCGGCAGCGGGTCCTGGGGCGGAAGGACCCCCCGCCGCCGAGAGCCCCGGCCCCGCGAGAGTTTTCCGGGGCCCCTGGAGCGAGTGAAGGGCCCCAAAAAACTCTCGTGAGGGCAAATTGCCCCAATTGCATCCCCCCCCTCTGGTCGGCCCTGTCTAGTTCATGAGTTTGCAAGAAAACTCTTTATAACTTTCTAAAGACCAACTGTGTTCAAAACGGCAAATGCAGGTCGTTCAGGTGCAGGCTTAGTAGTGGCTATGGAATCCTAACCTCTGTCAGATGTAAAGCTGCCAAAGAAGCATAAAGCTGCAAGATACTAGAGGAGCAAGGGGAAAGATTCCTCCTTAACACAGTTTTAGGTTTACAATTGACAGACAGGCAGCATGAGATAACTCCCTTCCTCTAACTTCATAAAGCTGTTGATTAAGCAAGATTAATTTAAGTCAAGGTAAAACAGAGTGTGATGCACTTACTGTGAAAGTCCACAGAGAACTTGGGAGCCAGCTTCCTTTCTTTGCCCCGGTTTGCTGTTTAGTCCCACAAATACAGAGACAAAAAGAACCCAGGACAGGGAACAAGCAGCCCTTCTGCCCTCTCTCCCCAGCCTTCAATCTGCTTTAGAGAGTGAGGAAAACACCACCTGTGAAAGTGAAATTCAGAGCAACCGCTTTACAAAGTTAACCCTTCACCCACCTTAACACAGTCGGAGCCTCTTAGGACCAATTTTTGCCTGGCTTTTAGTGCATGCATGGGAACAGGTGGGGGGAAGTGTGAATAAGCATTCCCCCACCTTGCATGGCCTGTGCAAAGGCCAGGTAAAATTACAGTACTGGCACTCAGTCCCTATGTACACTGAATTATAGGAATATAGGGGTGGGAAGGGATGTTGAGAGGACATCTAGGCCGGCCCCCTGCACGGAGGCAGGATCAAATGAACCTAGAGCATCCCAGACAGGTGTTTGTCTAACCCAGTGGTTCTCACCCTATTTACCATTGTGGGCTGCATATGTAGCTCTCTCTGTGTTATGTGGGCCACATCCACACAATACATATACTACCTGGATGGACTTGAGGATGTCACATGGGCCACAGCTGTGTGCTGATTGGACTCAAGCTGCCTGCAGGTTGAGAACCACTGGTCTAATCTGTTCTTAAAAACCTTCAATGATGGGGATGCCACAGCCTCCATAGGTAACCTGATCCAGTGGTTATATATCCTTACAGTCAAAGTTGTTCCTATTATCCAGTCTCTCTCTCTCCCTTGCTGCAAGCTGAGCCAATTACTTCTTGTCCAACCCTTAGTAGATATGGAGAACACTTGATTATGAGCCTATTTATTCTGATCCATTGTTTTCCAATCTATAAAGTCCAGCTTTTGGGTGCCCGGCAGCTGCAGACATTTTTGACAGATGTAAGCTAGGAGGAGCTTTTCCAAGCTTTAAGCCCCACTCAAAATGGCGACTGCGCTGGGGGACATCACTTCTAAAGCAGATTGTTGGCCATAAAATGGAATGGTCACTGGCCCCTGCCAGGCTGTAATTCACCATAAACCCCCTCTTTCTCCTCCCTTTCCCTGCCCGCATCTCTACCGGCTGACCAACGCGCCATCCACTCCACCATCCATGTGCTCAAAATGGCAACCACATGCTAGCTCTTCCCCTACCCCCGCTCTCACACAGCTGATTCAAATAATCAAACTTTGAACTGGTGAATAAGTTTATTGAAACATGATATAGAAAAATAAGCCATAAAAATAAATAGTTTGCATGCCCTGCATGAGGATAAGGCTATCATAGCGTTGTATAAGGTATCTTTAACATCATTTTATCACGGCATTCTAGGTGGCATATGTCACCTCATAACAATTATTGCTCATAGAGATTGCACAGCCATACTAATCTTATGGCACCAGGAAGAGGTGTATTTAATAGTCAATTCATCATTGCAATCGAGGAGATAAATGTAACATCATAACATTTCACAGGCATAGGAATTGCAGAGGCAAAGACCTAGCAATTATTAAAGTTCTCGACAGTCACTGTGGAACTCCCCTCGATTTTTCTGTGCACTTTGTGCATGTCTGAAGAGGATAGAAAGCAGTGTTTAAGGCAAAGAAAGTGCTCAATTTTGGTAGCGCACCCCTATCATTTGTGCTGGCATAGGCTGCAACAGCCTTCCAGTCTTGCAGCAATCCTTGTGAATTAACATCACACATCTTGCTGATCTGTCCTTAGCCTTCTTGAATAAGCCCCTTCTCTGCTTCCTAGTCACCTGCATCAGCATGATGTCATCCAAAGTCAGGGTGGCTTGAAGAGGTGCTTGCAAGTGCGTAAGATTTTAAAACATAACATACTATATGTGATTTTTTTGTTCAGCTGTTTGAATTGCCCTATGCTGTTAATTGTTTGTGCTGACCTGGGATCTCCAAAAAACAAGAAAAAACAAGCCTGAAACTTGAGTTTAAAATCTCATGATGACTAATCTTTTCTACTGGGCTTTTCCCTTCATGGGATGAGAAAGAGACACACAAGAGGATGTTTGTTTTTCAATATTTCTTGGTGTTATCCATAAAAGACTTTCCTGGGTGATTGTCTAGAGCAGTTCCTCAATCTGTCCAAGTGTTCTTCAGAAAACAAAGGTTTTGGGGCCAGCTAGGGCCTGAGCTGAGAAATGGGCCCTGCTTGGTACATCTCCACACAGAAAAGTTCCCCAAGGAATCAGTGTAGAGGGCCTATTTCATGCATCATTTTTACAGTGCAATCATTGGGCCTAACGTAAAGGTGCTGCACATCCTCAGGCTGCCAGCACCGTTACTAACCTAGCATTCCTGCCAGGGTTAGTGCGCCAATGGGGAATTTTAAGGAAAAGGTTTAGGGTAATCCCAGCTGTACAGTATGCCAGCGTAGACATGACCTGCCTTTCTAATGTAAAACAGCAAACAGAAAATCTAAGTTGTAATGGGGAGGGGAGGGGAGTGTGTTAAGACGAACACACTCCAACCAGAAAACAAACAACTTTCTCCTCTCTGTGACTTGTGCCCCACCCCCAGAACCCAGTGGTGAGACAGACTTTGGTCATTGACCCACCTCACCTCAGGCATATTTGGTGCTGTTCTCTTATGTCCTGACAGGCAGAAGGGTGATTTAATTTCCCCAAACTCAAAACTTAACTGCATTCTCACCAAAATGTCCTAAAAGGTCACATGCAAATGAGACTGTTCAGTCATTTCCCCTTGCTCACCAATAGATGGTGGCAGAAAACTCCCTCGCTTATGGAGCTTCTGTTCATTTCGTGTTCTCCCAGCCCTGCTCTTCCCTCTGTTCACCAACTAGTGTCAACAGCGAGCTCCCAGATCTCATGGGCTTCAGGCCACAGGGCCTATATTCAGGGGTGAACGTAAATCTGTAGACTTACCAGTATGGGGGCTGGCTCCAGCCCCCCGCAGAAGGGGCAGGGCTTTGGGTGGAAGGGGCGGGGCTGGGGGGGGTCAGCATCCCCCAGTCACTCTCCCTGGCCCACGCTGCCTGGGGATCCAGTGGCGGTTTAAAGGTCCCAGAGCCCCGGGCCCTTTTAAATCACTGGCCCAGGGGCAGCTGCTCCTTTTGCCTGCCCCCGTCGGCAGCCGGAGTGGGGAGGTCTTGGGGGGTGGGGGGGAAGCAGGGATGTTAAAGCATCCTTTGCTGTGGCAGTGCTTTAACATTGCGGCCACTTCCCCGTGGGTCGCCCTGCCAGTATGGACCCTACTGTCAGAGCCGCCGACAGGGGAGGCAAAAGGACCAGGAACGTTAAAGCACCGCCTTTAATGTGGGCTGCGTATGGGCCGGTATGGCCGACTTCTTACCAGTATCAGCCTGTACCGGCTCACTTTCACACCTGCCTATATTGGTGTCAAGGCTGCTTCCCCACACTGAACTTTAGGGTACAAATGTGGGGGCCTGCATGAAAACTTCTAAGCTTAACTACCAGCTTAGATCTGGTCCGCTGCCACCATTCCCAAGTGGATTCCCTTCCCTGGGAAGCCTTGAGAAACTCTTCACCAATTCCCTGGTGAATACAGATCCAAACCCCTTGGATCTTAAAACAAGGAGAAATTAACCATCCCCCCTCCTTCCTTCCACCAACTCCTGGTGAATATAGATCCAACCCCCTTGGATCTAAAAGCAGGGAGAAATGAACCATCCCCCCCTCCTTCCTTCCACCAACTCCTGTGAATACAAATCCAACCCCCTTGGATCTAAAAGCAAAGAAAAAATCAATCGGGTTCTTAAAAAGAAACCTTTTTTCTTTAATTAAAAGTCAAAAATCATCTCTGTAAAATCAGTATGGAAAATAACTTTACAAGGTAATCAAACTTAAAG